CATAGCTCCTTGTCATATTTTGTGAAAGTTATTTTGTCTATGTTATGGTTGACTTGGTTGAAGTCTCCCAGTATAATCAAATAGTTTTCGTCGTAGGCTTGGAAATGACCTGAAAGTCTATATATGAAAGGGATTTTCCTGTCTTATGATGGTGGGACGTATACATTTAAGCATGTTTATTTTGTTTTGCTGTATATGTAATAGTCCTTAGTTCTACTGATGAAGATTATATCACAGATACAGTTCAAAAGTTCCCTGTTAATTATTGTACCTAGCCCTGCGCGGATGGAGTTGGTATCTATTTGTATTAAAAATATCGTGCTCAATTAGGTTGGTTGGTTGGTTGGTTAAATTTTTACGGCGCACCAGCACAAAGAGGCCATTTAGCGCCATACAAAATGTTATATCCTTTATTATATACAAATGGTAAAAAAATTCTGTATCTAACAGCGATACAAAACCAAATAGTTAAATGTAAAGCGATAAAAATGGTGACGGTGATAAATAAATAAAGTTTCCCGATCAACGGGGAGTGCAAATAAAGTATGACAACGAAAACAGATGAATGGTAATTAAAATCTAGCGACCATATATATATATATATATATATATATATATATATATATATATATATATATATATAGCACATAAAAATGTTTAAGATGATAACATAAAAGTTATAACTTATGATATATATTTATTTCTTTAAGGAAGTCTTTAACATAAGAAATACTAACTGTATCAAGAGTTCCTTCATGTCTTGCACATTGTAATATTGATTACGTGTAGATTGGAGGTCGAAACACTCCAGCATAAAGTGCTTAACTGTGAATGGTTCATTGCAAGATATGCATTCTGGTGGGTCTTCTCCTTTTAGTATGTAGGAGTGGGTTAAATAAGTATGGCCCATTCGAATTCTAGAAATGACTATCTCCTCCCTACGGTCAGCTCTGTAGGAAGGAGTCCATTCTCCTAGAATTGGCTTGATGGTATGAAGTTTATTATTCACGGCATCATTCCATGATGCCTGCCATTTCTGACGTAAACAGTCTTTGATACAACGTTTAAAATCAGTATATGGTGTTTTAAAATCAAATGGTTCTAATGATAGGGCCATTTTAGCAGTGCTGTCTGCTTTATCGTTACCTTTAATTCCAACATGACTGGGTAACCAACAGTATACTATATTATGTGAGGTACTCAACTCAATATGCTTAATAAGAATATTAGCCAATAGAGGATTCTCCAGTTTTCTATTATGTAGTGACTGAAGCACTAATAGTGGGTCGGAGAAGATTATGCTATTTGAAATACGTTTGCTTGCAATGTATTGCAAAGCAGGGTCTATTGTTCTAATTTCGGCTGAAAAAATTGACGTACCATCTGCCAAGCGAACTTTGGTTGTGTGTTTTCCACTTACGAAGGCTGCAGCAGCCTTTTCCTTATCTTTTGATCCATCGGTATATATTTTTGTATAATTTTCAAATTGTGAGAGGAGTTCACGGTAAGAGTTGTGGAAAATGGAAGGGTTTGTCTCAGATTTTTTTTCCATCGTGTAACGTGAAAAGTAGCCTTGTTTACTGAAGTAGCCACGGGGCTGTTTCGGAGATGTTTGCTTTCAGAATTTTCGAAAGATCGATATGGGTACTTTCGACATATTGTGATATTCTAATACCAAAGGTAGGTATGGCATTTGGTTTATTGTCATATAAGGTTTTATATAAAAAAATTTTTGCTCAATTAGTCTTCAATATAATATATAATTTTTGTTGTACATTGTGTCATATTGTTTGCCTTTTGTATTATCGTTTTTGCTTTAATAAGATCAAATCCATTTACATTAATGGATATAATTTTTAGTTCATTATTCATTTCTTATATTTGTGGGCTTTTTCTAATTATGGAGAGAGCGGTTTTTGGAATACTTTGTTTTCTTTGGGGGTGAGGTGTTCTTTTGTTTCAGTTGACTTACCGTTTCTTTTGGTTGCTCTAAAAGTCGCATAGTTTTGTTTATATTTGATTCGGGTTCCACCTGTATTTATGCTAGTTTAGCTGGTGGGGCTGGTTTAAATTCGTTTATCAACTCTCTAATCTTTTTGGTTAGGAGAGGTGACGTGGTACTGGGTCTTTTGTAAGTTTTCATGATTTTTGTTTGTGGAAAGGTGTATTTCCTCTTGGTAGACTTTTTCTATTATGGAGGATCCATATCCGTATCAGTATGTGTGTTTATATCCGTATCATAATCTGATATGATATTTGTTTTACGACTATCCTCTAAAAGGGGGATGTTAGTGGAGTTTGTGTTGGTAGTGTTGATTTTGGTGTTTTTGTTGTGGTAGATTCATTTGGATTATCTTGTGTTTCGGGAATTTCAGCTGGTGCTGCTGGCCAATCCTTACTAAGGGTTTTCTGTAACCGTTGGTGTCATATTCAGCTGGTTCATCCATCTTTTTCCGGTTTTTTGTTGGTGTTGTTCTTCTTGTTGTTTTTGTTGTCTATTGTTTGTGCGTAATGCATCCACATATGATTTGGGGGTGTTTCTTTTTTGGATGATGTTGTTGTGGTTGCTGTTGTGTTTCTTGTAGTTGTTGTTGATGTTGCTGGGGGTCTATTTTGCTGTTTTTGTGGGCAATCCAATTATTTGTGATCTGGGATTCACAAATTGCAAAGGGTCTAGTTTTATGGCAGTTATAGTGTCAGGTTTGTATTGGTATGCCATGTACTTTGCGGTGTCCGGGTACTTTAAGTGCATGCCTAATTTTAACTTTAACCACAATTTTTCCTTAATTTATCCCTTGCATGACTTTGTATGTGTCTATTCTAATATCGACCACTTTAATTTAAGTCCTATTTTCAAAACCCTTTTGAAAAACATCCGGGGGGGGATTTCTCTAGGGAAGTGGTATATGTAAATATCTGTATACGTTTTTCTAGCACGCGTGTTAGCAGGGGGTGGGGTGGAGAAGGGTGATGTCACCCTGATTACATGTTCGTTTACCAACATGTTACCTTTTTAAGCAGGAGTTCTTGGAGGGGTGTATAACAAGATTATACACCTCCCTATTTTGTGGAATGTGTCTAGATTTTTGTTGTCAAGCCCCTTGCTGATAGGGAAGCAAGTTTTCTGCATCATTGGGCCTGTCTTCTGCTCTGATGTCAGATAGGTCCAAAGCCTGGACAAAATGAGCCTTTGGGCTTTTCGGAGTCTTCCTTGTTCAATACTTTCCTCTTCCACTATTCTGAAGTAGGTTTGAAGAATATTTTCGCTATTCATGGGAGGTGTTAAGGCAGTTTTCATTTTGGCGCGTAAATTTACGTCTGTTGTCACTACGTAATATTAAAAGTTAGCTCTGAAAAGGCTATTTTTATGTAAGAAGGTTAAAAAATTTCTAAATATGTACTGTAAAGTGCAAATATCGATAGGGAAAGACAATATACCTTTAACCTTGCTCAGAATATATTAAATGTTGTGGATGCCATTTCCAAATAAATTTGAAATTCTTCACATGTCAACCAGGAGTTTCAAAATCAATTTCCTCGACACTAAATAACTTGTTTTTGTTGCTTTGCAGCACAACACCAAACCAAACCAAGCCAATTCTTATGCTAGAAGCGTCAGACACAAAGTGACTTGGTGTGATTTGGTTTTTTAAAGTATCTTTAACAATTTTTAGCCATATCGCTACGATGTATGCAGTGTGGCAGTTTATAGTGATGTCTAGCACTAAACATTATGCGGCAGACATGTAGCATGATGGCCCACCCAGTCACATAATCCTTACACCAGGCCGACCAGTCCTAACACCAACCTCTTAATGTTGAGTGTCAAGTGAGGCAGCTGTTTGTACCATTTATGCAAGTCTCTGGTATGACTCGACCGGGCATCGAACCCACGACCTCCTGCATCTGAGACGGACGCTCTAACCACTCGGCATCCGGAGCGGTTAAGTGGAATTGAAGCTGATAGACAAATATGAGTCATCAATGCTGCTCATTCACTTTTGCTATGGTTCCAAGTCTTTTAACAAACAACAACGCCAAGCGAAGCAGCTGTTAGTAACATTTTTATAAGTCTTTGGTATGACTCAACTTGGGATCGAACCCACGACCTCCCGGACGCTTTAACCACCGGGTCACCTGAGAGGTCCAGACATAAAGTACAGTAATTCGTGGGTCAAACATCTAAAGTAACCCCCCCAATCTCTCCAACCCTCCAGACAATAACGCGTGGGTCAAACATTTGAAGACCTCCCTATCCCAAAACATGATACTATATAATATATTGCAAGCAGTGGCGTCATAATGGTTGGTGTAACCCAGTGAGGTAACTGTTGATGTCACCCCCATATACCTCCTTCCTGCACAAAGATTTCAAAATTTTATAGACAGTCATTTTGGTATCACCCCCTTGTGATGTCACTGATTTCAAGCTAGTAGCGAAATGAGTTTGGATACAGATCTTCCAAAAGCAAACTAATTACATTCAGTATTGTTTACAAACCACAATTTTTCATCCACTATCATGTCGCTAAGGAAATTGATCCATACCTATTTTTCATGGGATGTGGTAATGCTTGTGTTCTCAGTCCACATAACCGTTAGTTGCAGGAGATTCTTGTACAAAGTAATTTGGCCAAAATTAGCAATAAACCAAATCTTGTAACTCTCTTACTCCGCTACCCTACCCGACTCAATTATAGTAACAGAACACTGTTATTAAGTTCCTCGAATCTGACAAATTGACTACAGACGAGAATATCAGAGATCGTTAAGTTACTTTCTTGGCAATAAAAAATTATTATGATTTAATAAATTCATTTCAAGGAAAAGTCGGATTATCTAGACGCTCCTTTATCTGAAAATTGCAAAAAAATTAGAAAAATTACCTGAATATGATCGACTCAATTTACAATGACCTTAATGGCTCACCAATATTTCCCCATAAAATCACCGAATCTAAACTAGACTATTCAAGTTATGAACTCACTAGCTAAAGGATTGACCGTTCCGGTGGTTTAGTGGTTAGAGAACCCATCTCAGATGCGGGCGGTCGCGGGTTTGAATCCCCATCTGAGTCATACCAAAACTTATTAAATGGTACTATCAGCTACCTAGCTAGCCGTTCAGCATTTAAGAGGTTCGTGATAGGGCTGGTCGGTCTGGTGTGAGGATAATATGACCAGGTGGGAAATCGTGCTACATGTCTGACATCACTTTATACTGCCACAATGCAGACATCGTAGCTATATGACTAAAGAAGTGTTAGAGCTACGTTGAAAATGCAAATCACACTCAAACTCACAATTATAAAAGTGACATTGCTGATGATATAGTATCATTCCGAAACAATATCAGTAGCAATTGTTCTTTTTTTTAAAATAAATATAATACTTTCCATTTCCAAAACATTTATACTTTCAACCAACATGTTAAATTTCCAAAAACCACTTGAAGCTTGCAAACAAGGTACCAATAGTCAATAGTCAGGACAAATCGAGTCCTTCAAAGTAGAGACCCATATTATTCCCAAGCAACGTCAGTAGATTATTTGATAACATAGGCCTAATGCAAACATATACGTCCTTCCATATATTTTAATCTGCTTTTTTAAAAAAAATCTAATCTCTCAACTACATTAAAGTCATTGATATTTACCATTCGATATGTACTGCAAAAGACAAAATTTAATTTTCATGTAATAAAATTCTGTGATAATTCTAGAGTTATTGAAAATATTTGTGGTAGTTTTGTTGTAGATTTTAAGAAGCTATGAAATTCAAAGAAATGCATTGGCTTGGTCAAATGGAGTCATTGTTTGCAACTCCTTCAGGGACCGAGTTTTGGTTGTTGTTGTTGTTGTTGTTGTTGTTGTTGTTGTTGTTCTGGGGCTTGACGCCATTTTTCAGCACACGATAGGTTATACATGGCGGCCAGTATTGATGGTGGAAGAAAAAACCGGGAAATCACCGGAAAGAACCACCAACCCACGAGAAGCTACTGGCAATCTTTCTCACATATCCACATTCGCCGAATCTTAGACTCGATCCCAGACAGAGGTGAGATGGCAGTGATCCGTACGGAGAGCGCTTTAGACCACTTGGCCACTATACCTCCCCACCCCACCCCCGATTTTAAGTCGGTTCCTGTTTCTTGTCTGTAATTACAATATATTTAAACGTTTTAAATCTCTCTCTCTCTCTCTCTCTCTCTCTCTCTCTCTCTCTCTCTCTCTCTCTCTCTCTCTCTCTCTCTCATTTGCATATGACGTTTAAAACAAGAATTTCGGGCACCTTACTCATGCACAGAGTTTCATGCATGACCTTCAAAAAGCTCTCAGCATGATGAAATTGTTGGCTAGAATTCTTAATCCATCTAAAACAAAATATGTGGGGAGAACATTCAGTTTCATCATTTAGAAGTTACATTGACTTTTAACCGATTTTGGATTAACAGTATTGATAAGAAAATCAAATCAGCCTCAAAACGTGTCGCGCTCCTCATAACTTTCAAGTAGACTTCATTCAAAGAAATTGTACAAACATTTACTTAATTTTCATTCATCCAATCTCAGAGTATTTATCTAAACTGTGGTCATCGTGTACCTATTATGGTTCTAGAAATGTTACAGAATTACAACTTTAGGTTGCAGGACTAGTTTTCAGTTTACAAAGTTATTCTAGCAGAGAATTATTTATTTCGAAGAAATTCGGATTAATTTTTGCGTAAAGAAAAGACAAAAAAATATACATACGCTTTGTAAAATTATTAAAAGCTTATACACAACAGATGCCTATAATCTACGAAATTTTAACAGCCTTATTCATCTTTGTAATTACACTTCAGTGTTTGAAAACAATTTTTCCGTCTATTATAAACACTTAATGAATAGCTTTTAATGTAAAAAGGGAGTCCAACATTTAAAACCTTCGGAGGAGTCACAACAAATGGTATTGTCTCAGCCCCCGACTATTTACCTTTCGACTATCTGTTAGCTTAGATTTTATTAGTTCAGCTTATATATATATATATATATATATATATATATATATATATATATATATATATATATATATATATATATATATATATATATATATATATATATATATATATATATATATATATATATGTGTGTGTGTGTGTGTGTGTGTGTGTGTGTGTGTGTGCAGCTTTCTCAAGTGCAATCTCCTTCAAATGATTAATAACTAAAACTGACAACACCCACCCAACCCCTGCCAAACGCCGCCTAGCCCCCACCCATCCACCCCGCCTTAATATTGTATGTATACCCTTTGCTTAAATATTCGGATTGGTATAATGAGGAGAAATAAATAAGCTGGATAAATTTTTCTACTCTTTTCTGCTTTGCATAGTTTTTGCCACTTATATTAATCAAGTGTGTTTCAATAAAGCGAAGTGAACATTTGTCCGCAAACCTTTCTACAGCCAAACCCTTTTTGTCATAGCTTGCATTTGTCTTTGAGCATAAATGACAGTTGTAATTGACCGCCTGCATGATACTACATAACGTTATTCAATTATGTTTATTTTCCACTTTTGTGCCCAGAGCTAGCTGAATGAGGCAGTTACCCATCATAAAGTGCCCTGTTTTCGAACTGAAATTTTCATAGTATAACTATTCTAAAGAGACACAAGGTCAAGCTACAACTTAATGCATGTCCTTTATGCGTATACCTTCATCCTTATCGCACGTCTACATCAAATAAATATATAATGTTAAAAGTCCCAAGAAATTTGTCGACATAGTCAAACGGATGTAAGATGTATCTTCCACATGAAAATTGTTCACACACACACTTTTCTCTTCAAAATACTCATATTTTACTAATTTTTAAAGTCTTTTATCACAAATGTCATAGAAAAAGATAAAACCCACAAAAATGCATGCAGTCCTCACAGACGTTTGCAAAAGAAGTGATGACAAACACCTGACTTTTTAAAATACTTGATTTTACATTTGTTCAATAAACTTACCCAATATATTATATGTGGAGAAAATGAAACCTTTATAGTTCATCGAAACCAAATATTAATTCCGCCTTCAAAATTTCCATAAAATCCTTCCAGCAGCATGGAAGGAGAAACGACAACAAGCTTCTTTCTAAAACTCGAGTTACCACAATACACATCTTGTTGACAGTGTTTGAAGAAAACTGCCATAAAAATGTTTCGAATGAAAACAGTCAAATCTTTATGCGCATCTACACCAACCACTATTTGGCCTATAATATAGTAATTAACTAATTCAAGCAGTGTGGGAAAATCTACTTTAATAACCTTCTCCCAAAAGTCGGACTTCTCAGAATACGCCTTTAACGGCAACCTATGTAGAAGAAAAATAATAATTGTAACCTAATTGCGCATCTACACAAACAACGAATGTAGCACTCAAAGTTTCAATAAAATATTGCAGCTGTGTAAAAAAAAGAGATGGTGGCAAAGTTTTTCCTAAAATTTGCCACTTTTCAAAATATCCATTTATCGAAAATTGGTTTTAAAAAAACCGAAATATAAATATATGGCAAAGCAGAAAAGTAAAACCATATTAAAAGTTTTTCATGCAATATATATATATATATATATATATATATATATATATATATATATATATATATATATATATATATATATATATATATAAAGAATACAAATCATACGCCGAATAACAACCCTTTCAAGCGTACTGGACCCACCAAGGGATCACGTGTGTCAGGGATTAATTAAAATAGATGCAATAAACTGATGACGAACAGTACGAAACTAGTAACTAACTAGCCTAAGCGCTTTCGACTCTTAATGAGTCTTTTTCAAAGGCAAATACAAAACATATATACGACAAACAAATAAAGACAAAAACGTTGTGTTTGTAAACCTCTACATGGCTGTCTCCACATGGGTTAAACTATAAATACAACCAGCTTGTATAAACTAGTTGCGGAAACTGAAAACGGTGTATAATTCCCTAAAAGTCTACAAGCCAAAGCGACATCTATTTTTAATTTTTGTACATTTATGTAACGCAAATTATATCCCGGTTATTTGATTCTATACCGGTTATTCTTATAGTTAAAATTGAAGGATAATAAGATTTAGAAAATGTTAAATTCTACTAGTGCATAGTTTTCATTTTCTAGTCTTCTTGGTTTAGACCGCTTGGTTTCAATGTTCTAAGGCGGCGTATCCAGTATGATTCCTTTTCCTTCCTGGTTTCGGAACTCCAGCTGTGGTTGTTAGCAATAGCGATAAGTATTATATCACTGAAAGTGTGGCCAGTGGAGGAGGAGTGTTCTGCGACCGGGCTTCTGTACAGCTTTTTTGTCATCCAATCAGATCTATGAAGGTTTATCCTTTTGTGTAGCTTTTCAGTTTCTCCGACGTACTGAAGGCCACAGATCTTACATGTGATGAGATAAATCACATTCTCTGTTTTGCACGTTTTGTTTGGACCATGTATGTTTTGTTTTTCTTTAGTCACTGTGCTAGTGAATGACTTGGTCTCTATCATGTGATGACCTACTCAGATATGGACAGAAAGAAAAGGTTGATAGGATACCATTTATTCCGACCTATCACCCAGACAATCCCAAAGTAGTTAAAATCATCGCAAACCACTGCCAACCGTGCAATCGTCAGACATATTAAACCTAATACTTCCGAACAAACCTTTAGTAGCTTACCGGAGACCAAAAAACCTAAAGGACATCCTAGTCCGGGCAAAGCTAACGCCAATCGCTAGTCAAAACTAACCTAGTCAATCTGGACCCTGTGGCGATAAAAGATGCAAAACCTGCCAACATATGATAGAGACCAAGCCATTCACTAGCACAGTGACTAAAGAAAAACTAAACATACATGGTCCAAACAAAACGTGCAAAACAGAGAATGTGATTTATCTCATCACATGTAAGATCTGTGGCCTTCAGTACGTCGGAGAAACTGAAAAGCTACACAAAAGGATAAACCTTCATAGATCTGATTGGATGACAAAAAAGCTGTACAGAAGCCCGGTCGCAGAACTCTTCTCCTCCCCTGGCCACACTTTTAGTGATATAATACT